ATATATATATATATATATATATATATATATATCAATAATTTGATAGGCCTACATTTATTTCTCATTTTCTGAGACAAAATCTTTCATCGTAGAAAAATGACCGGACTGTTTCATAGAACAAGGAAAAAACAAGTACGTGTCAATGAAAATTATCTATAGTATTTTATCACGAAATCACGAAAATAGACAATTATTTATGCAACATTTTAATAATAATATGAATTTGTTAGCAGGATTTTTATTTTTAATTTTCTTTTCAAAATAATTTACAACATTGCGTCCCTTTTATAGGTTAGTACATTAAATTTTAAAAAAAATTTTTTAGCGATTGCGGTACAAAAAACGTATTTTTTAAAAATAATTTAAAAGATAACAATTGGTTCCTAGTTAAAAATGTATAATTTATTTTGTCCAGGAATTCAGTCCGGACTCAAATCTAAATCAAACTATGTATGGCGTATGGAGTGACCAACAAAGGGAAATCATTCATAAATGTTTAGCGATATATTTCCCTTGCAGACACGGGCCAAACGCTATTCCACAGTTGCTTGCCCTTGGTAAAGACATGATTTCATGAGCAAAAGAATTACATCTCCTACATTGACGAGACCAAAACTTTGTTTAGGGGTCGTTCGCCAATAACGTCACGCTCAGTGAGGAGGGGGGGGGGAGGGTCCAGAATTTGTGACACTTAGTGACAGGAGGAGGGGGAAATAAAAATTTGTAAAATCAAGTTTTTTTTTTTTTTTTTTTTTTTTTTTTTTTTTTATGTTTATTAAATATGAAAATTTATTATTTAAAAAAAAAAAAGTATTCAATTAATTTAAAAAAAAATTAATTTGAGGTCCAAATTGCCTCCGGTATTATAGTTACTATGAAACTCAGTTCTCTAATAATACAGCATCTTAATCCATTATGGGAAAAATTTTAAAATAAAATAAAATCTTAGTTTAGTAATGAAAATTGTATGTATGTTTTTAATGTTGTTTAGGTGTCACGTGACACTAGGTTTTTTTTGGGGGGGGGGGGATAAAGAATATGTGACATTTTGTGACGGGTGGAGGTGGGAGTCTAAAAAGGTCATTTTTAGCGTGACGTAATATTACGAACGATCCCTTAATAACAACATTATTTTCTCAATCTGTTTATTACTTTGAACAATGCATCACTATTCAACGATATTGAAACTGGGTAATAAGACAAGCATTGATCATTGAAACGCTTCGCATTTTCCAATTCAGGAATGTCTTCAATGGCAAGCATCGTTGTAAACCATACACACAACAGCGATTTGACCAAATCATTGTTTTTCTCATAGAGCAGAGCACAAAAAAAACGAGTCTCTTCGTTACAAAACAGAGCACAAAATTAGTCTCTCCGTGATTCGGCGTTCAACCCTTAAGAGGCTGACCGAATCATTCGTTGTCAGCGACCAGTGAAGAGAATTTGGATCACTTTCTGCACACACATCAGCTCCTGTCGTGTGAATAGCCCATTCTTGTCAATGTCACATATTCTGTAAACCTGCATCATGGCCAGGTCCATGGCGGATCTCTTAAACGTCGCCAATCTGAGGAGGACAAATTGAGACCATTGAGATGGTGTAGTTTATGGAGGACAAATTGAGACCATTGAGATGGTGTAGTTTATGGAGGACAAATTGA